TTACATTAGTTTCTGTTTTAGTTTATGAAACCTTCAATATGCCCATAATTGAAAAAGTCAAGTGGAACAGGTGTAAAGTAAATGCCTTTTCTCTTCTAAATAAACAAATTTAGAGTTAGCAACACAAGTTATTTATATAAACAACCCTCCGAAAATTGGTTTTTATCTGATTTAAAAAAAACCCTGATACATCTTAATCATTTCAATTATGCCATTATTATTTTTAATCCTTTATTATTAATATTTTTATCATTTTATTTTTATTATTATTTAAATTAAATACTTATTATTATTTTTATTTATTTTAAATGAAGATTTTGTGGTTAAATGTAGATTTTGTAGTTTTGTTCGGAAAAAAAATGTCTAAAGAATGTCTTATAAAATCTGTGCAGCCTCTGAACAAGACAACTATATTAATCAGTTGCAAAAAAGATAAAACTGTTTTACTTGTTATTGTTACTACAACTTATATGCTTCATCACTTAGAAGAATTGTTAAATTTGTTTGTCAAAGTTTAAAAGTCTTTCAGGTTGTAAACATATTTTTTAGTAATTTAAAAGAGATGTTTTCTTTTCTATTAAATGTTTACGCAAAGGCTTTTAAATGTTTACGCAGAAGCTTTTAAATGATTGACTACAAACTGTTGCAGCGCCCTGTAGCAGTTAGTGGTCAAAATAAATAAACTATAAAACCCACTTTTAATAATTAAAATTCAAAAAATTTAAATGACGTTTCAACATGATGAAGCAATGAGATTTGTATCAAACTTTTAGAGGCGGAAAAGATTGTAGATTAAATGATTAAGCAACATGTCTAGGAACTTAAGGATCTCTTTAAACATAAAAACCATCTACTTGTTTAAATCAATCTTTTACAAACATTTGTGGTAGCTTTTCATTAGTTAAACCTCTTGCAAAATTCACTAGATTTGTTTTTTTGTAACTAATTTAAATTACCTGTTTCTATATGTTTACCTGTTTTACATATTTTTATTGGACACATACTCGTGTATCAATTCACTTATTTATCCTAAAATCTTGTTTGATTTCTCTGATCATTCTTTTATGTGCTTCTGTTTAACACCTCTTCACTCAAATATCTTTCTCTTTGTTCTTTATTGTTCCCTTTATTCTTAAGACTGCACTCTTTGTTATTTTTTCAATGTTTTTTTTAATTTTTCATCACACTGAACAGCTTAACTCTAGCACGATTGACTCTGTTAGTTGTTCTTAACTCTAGCACGATTTTAGCCTAGAACTAAAGTTAATAACTCTTGTCTTTCTTTAGTTATGATTGTGGCTTAATTCCCAAGCAACTCTAATTGCTTACTTTCACCTCTTTGTTCGTGTCTTGGCTCTGATCCTATTTTGTGTTAATTTCTTCTTTAGGTAGTTCAAACCATGCTTTGATCTAAATATTTTTATCTCATACTTTTTTTAAGACTCGGCCATTGCAATTCTTCATACCTTAAAGCTAACTGGATCCTTTTTATGGTTTTTTTTTGTGGCGGTCTTTGGGCTGTCTTTTGTGTCTCTCTTTATAATTCCCTATCTAAGCAGGTAAAAAGCTTTTATTTTTTCTCGTCGGTTCTAAGATAAGTCTCATTCTACTTCATGGTTTTCAACTTCTTGTACAGCTGCTATATCAAATTATTAATCTTTTTTTTCCTCACCATTTTACAATAATAACTTTTTTAAGAACAAACGTCTTTTTATTATTGCAAAAATCAATGTTAGAAGGTGCCGTCTGACAAAAAGCATTACTCTTAGTTAACTAAATATTTTATCTTAGAAGTTAAGTTCTAGAGACTTTATATTCATTTATTGCTTGTGGTCCAGACTCCTGTCTTACAAAAGTGTTCTCCTAAACTTACTTGAATAATCTTTTTAATAAAGGGTTAACTAAATGATGTTTTTCTGCCAGCATAAAAATAGCGTCTGTGGTTTTATTTTTAAATAATTATGCAGAACACTCTGCCCCCTCTATCCTCCAGTCTTCTCTCTATTACTAGCAGTCTTTTTTTGAGTCTTTAATTAAAAAATCTCATCTTGAGTTAAACAACTTTTTGTTTCTAACAACATTTTATTTACTTTTGGTTAAAGTCATCCTCAAAGGAATATAAGAAAAAGCATCATTAGAAGAACTAGCTTAAATATATTACAAAAATATTTCATACTGAAATAGAAAGAAAGCACAATAAGGAAGCAAGTTTATTAGATGCTAACTTTGCAATGTGTTGTATATTTCTCAAGTCAGTTGTAAATTATAATCTGAGAAGACATGAAGTACAGTAATATTATACTTTATTTTTTATGTAATACAGTTTTACATGTAAGCCAGTCAAATAGATGAAGAAGGGGTGCAACGTTGGTTAACAGAAGTATTCTGCATATCCCAAATGTCCTAGAAGACCTCCTACAAGGCAGTACTCGTGAAGATTCTTCTGTTGAGGAAAGTCTATTCCTGACTTGCTTGGTACCACTTCAACTGTCTGTAGTTGCAACATCTGAAATTCTATGGGTTAATGAGAAGCCTTCATTGACTTTGTACTGTACACCAATATGTTTTAGATATTACCAATATATATTTTTAGAAAAAGAGAACAAAGATGTTCTTAATCTTGAGCTAAATCATATCAAAGAACATGAGCTTTAGCTAACTCTACTAGAACATCAACTAGAAATGACCATGTTGGATGGCAAAGTAGCAACAGAAATGAATAACCTAGATAGTATTTATGAGAAAAGAATCAGACTTAGTAAATCTAGTTCCAATATAGTTCCAATATAATAATACAATATATATAAACAATATAGTTCCAATAGCGCAAATTGAATTTTTTTGTTGTTACAAATTTAAAACTTTCAGACGTTGCGCAAACTCTAAATTTAAGTATATTTATGCTTATGTCAAATGATAATACTTTTCAAAAAATTGCAATGATTAGATCCTGGGAACAAAAACACCCCAAAGTGTTATTGCCCATACCCCAACAATGAGGGCAATAAGTTATGAATGAATTTTATTATATGAATTTTATTATATTATACTAAATTTGACTACGTTGGCAAGTTTTAAATTTCATGGAATAATATTTTAGATTTTGAAAGTTATGACTAAATAAATTTCCAACCCTCCCCAAAGTGAGGGTGCTGTAAATTTTATACGGTCATAAATTTATATCTCTGAAAGATTATTCCGTGAAATTTAAAACCTGCTAATTTAGTTAAATTTAGTATGAAATTGTAACAAAAATTAAACCATTAACTCATTGCCCTCACTTTTGGGGAATAACATTTTGGGGTATTTTTGTTCCCAAGCTCCAACCACCATAATATTTTCAAAAAGGTTATTATTTGACATAACCATAAACATACTTAAGTTTGGAGTTTGTACAATGTCTAAAAATGTCAAATCTGCAAAACCAAAAATTTAAAATTGCTTAACTAAACAACCTGTTGCGACGAGCCATTTAGAGTGATCAAAACCTAATTTTAATGTCAGAAATGGATTCCCTGACCCCAAAAACATATGATTAGATGTATAATATGATTATGTTAAGACGTTTTCTATTTTTGCTATATTTTGTTACATTCTGGCCCACTGTGTGTTGGCTTCTTTATAACTATTTTAATCTTTAACTAGATTATCAAATACATTTTAATCTAATAATATGTTTTATTTTAAATCTAATCTCATTGGAATAGTTTTTATTCTTATACCAAGTTCTCGAACAAAATTTAATTAATGGCATATATATTATACTTATATAAATAGAACTGGAATAAAATAGAAAATATAGTTAAATAAAGTTGAAAAAAGCGGTTTTAAACCAATTGTTTTTATACCAATTAGCACACATAGAAACGTGAGCCTAAATTAAGTTACTTTTGGGCTTTAGAATAAACAAAAGCAAAATTATTTTTAAATATAGTATTGTTGCAAAGAAAGTTCTTTTATATATTTTATTCATTTGATTGTAACAGTCTTGCAATCTCAAACTCTTTTACAAAAGTATAAGAGCTTTGCAATCTAAAGTTTAAAACTAGATAGGGTTAGGGGCTTGGGGGCTTCAGTGCATACATCAACTGATTTAGAGAAATAATGGACTTAATTCCTTTCTATTAATTCAGACCTATTTCCTTTTTTTTTAATCCATGATCAATTCATTGACAATCAGAAACATCTTTTTCTGTTGGAAAAAAATGTTTCTGATTTTTTTTGCTCCAAATATACCTTTTGCTAACAAAATAACCTTATTCAAATTTTCATTTCATGTATAAGTGTTTTATTAAAAAACACATTTCTTATGACGATGCCATACTGGTGTCACTTCTTAAGACAGTTATAAGTGTTATATTAAAAAACACACTTCTTATGATTATATTCAATGATTATATTTGTTTGTCCAACATAAAATATAAAACTTGAAAATAAAATTTGAAACAATAAGATTTTGAGATCATGTATAATACAATTTTGAGATCTTTGAGATGTACAATACAATCATTCATATGAAGTTTTAATTTTTTGTCAAAAATGAGTAGCCAGAATGCAAAATAAATAATTTTTCTTCAGAAGGTTAGAAGTAAATAGAATAAAGGATAGAAATAGATTTTTTTTATAGTGGTCAAAAAAATAGTTTAAATTAGTTAATCATTAGAAAAGTTTGAAAACATTGAAAGTTTTAAAAAACATTTTATTGCCTAAAACAATGGATTAAGCTAATTTTTTTTCTTTCACTTTCCATGAATTTTACATTTTGTCCTTTATATTGATTACCTTCTATAACCAGTACTGAATTTTACACTTCCCTTTTGTTTAATCCCTCTTAAACAAGTCTCATTTAGTCTCTTAACACTATTTTTCACCTTATTTCTCTTTCCTCTCTAAATCACTGTAAAACATTAAAACCATTTTGAATAAGCTAGCCCCTTTTTTTGGAATAAGTAGGGGACTTGTTTTTAAATTAACTAGATAAAAAATTTTAAATCACCAACATCTCGTATTTGTTCATTCCCATCTTTCACATTCTCGGTGGTAGCAACTGCGCTATTGTGAATGTTCTGGATTTGTGACGACTAGAAAAAATAAAGCAATTACAAGATTATCAAACAATTACAAGATTATCAAACAATTACAAGATTACCAAACAACTATAAGATTGTCAAATAAGATTACTAGATTATCAAACAATTATGTTAATAAAGTTAATCAAAAACATAAATTTATTATCAGGCAAATTTATTAAACAAAATTTATTAACTAAAATTCATAATATTTATACTATTAATATTATTAATTATAATACATGTAAAATACTATTTTATTATTTATTTATTTAAAAAGAGATACTAATACCTGTGCTAGGACTTTTTCTTGAAAAATTTCTTGAAGTTGAGAAATTTCAATAACTTTACCTTCAATATTCCTTTAAAAAATGTTATCAAAATCAAAAAAATTGTTAAACAAACAAAAAAAAAATATAATTTTTAATACTATTAAAGTTAAAAAAATATCAAGAAAAATAAGTATAACTTAAATATGCATATGAAATAATACCACATGTTGCACCTATTATATTTACAGATTGCACTCTATTTAGCTTTTTTACACATTAATGTGCATATAAATAAGAAATTTATAATATAATTTAAAATGTATAGTAAAAACTATAATATAATTTAAGTCCATTTAGGAAATTATATCAAAAATAATCATGTGTCATGTGTGCTTGTCATTTTCTTAATGAAAGATGTTTCTGATAATTAAGCTTGTTTTTTTCACACATCTTTGTTTTCTTTTTCTTGGCTGCACACATTGTTGTTTTGATACAAACGAAATAGTGAAAATTTTCAAAACATGGCAGAGAACCTTTTTTGTACTAATAAATGTAAAAACTAATTATTGTTCATTGGTAGATTTCAAGCTTCATTGTAAACTATTCGAAAAGTTTTTGGTTGAGTAAAGGCTAAAGATGGCACCTAGACTAAAAAAAACTTAACTTGGGCACATATTAACTGTTTGGTAGCCCATTTTGGTCAAATAGATTGAAGATATTTCATTTGACTTTTTTCCCATAAACTTTGGAAAGTCAGACGAGAAAACTTTTGCTGAATGCATTTTACAATCTACTGTAACAAATATGTTCCTGCGACTTTATTTTGATGTTGAAAAAAGCAAAAGAATATTGCTTAGTTTTAGGAGGGGTTTTATTGTTTATTTTTTAGCCTTTTTAAAAAATTTAAATTTAGTTCAAATTAGGTTTTTACAGTTGTGTGATAGTAAAAAGAAAGATGTTTTAGAGTAGAAAATAAATTAGATTTCCTATTATTCATGTATTTTTATTTAACTTTTTATAAAATCAGTTTAGTACCCCTATTAGGGTACCCAATTAGTAAGTGACTGGGGCCCTGGCCCCTGCCCCGGCTAAGATTTAGCAGGGGTTGATAACCAGGGTTAGAAAAAAATTTGTATATTATAATTTTAAGCTTACATTTACTATTTATTAAATAGTGGCATAAACTTATATACTTTTAAACTCTAATTTACTTCCAACAAAATTGCAAGCAACCACTATAAAGTTATTAGTTACTTTAAAATATAGAATAAGTAAAAATACTAGAAAATGGTTAACTGAAGACTTAAAAAGTTGTAGGTTGTATATAAAAATAAACAAGAAAATGGCTAATAGTTATAAGGTTTTTTTGATGTGCAAGGAAAAAAAACCAGATTAATAAAAGTTTTTGTAGCATGAAGGAAAGATACAGTAAAAGTATGTAACTTGTTGAATAAGAAACAAGCAAGAATGAGTTTTGGTTTATCATAATAGAGATGATAGCTTGTTTGAGTATTGACCATGATTATATTTGTAGAAAAAGAAAGAAATGCAACCTTACAACAATATGAGAGTGGCTCAAGCTTGGGATATAAAGTTGGTCTAATTACATTTACAATGTGCTTCTTACCCTCAGACAAAATCTGTAAATGTAATTAGACTTACTTTAGTTAATGACACTGTTGAAGACTAACCAAAAGTTTCTGGAACATAACATTTGAGATAAGATAAAAGATTTAGTAAACTGAGAATACCAACAACAACAACAACAACAACAACAACAACAACAACAACAACAACAACAACAACAACAACAACAAAAACAACAATAACAACAAGATATTTATTTTCCTTTTCAAAATTGACATATAATCATATAATAACAATAATAATAATATTATCTATAATAATACAAACAATATAATTATAATAAAATATAGCTAATAAGAATAAATATAAATAATTATTTGAAAAGGAAGGTGTCACTCAAACAGAAGCCTGATCAAAGGAGTGATACCAAATAATTATAATAATAATAATTAAAAAATAATTAATATTACCTATAATAATACAAATAATATGATAACATTAGTGTCACTCATGATCAAAATGAGTGACACCAATTAATTATAACAATAAGCATAATAATAAAATAATAAAAATAACAAATATGAACCGAAAATCGCTAAGAAAAACCAAAAACAAAAAATTTACAACAAAGATTACAAACAAAGCATGAAATTACGGTTGATTAAATTATTACATTTTGTACTTTTGGTTTAAAACGTAATAATGTAATCAGCCATAATTTTATTAAAATAATAACGTAAAACCCTATCTCTAAAACAAAAACTGAATATACACCAGCCCAGCAGTTACGTCATCGCCTTTGCAATGACGTAACACACAGTAAAACACAGTTATAGAAAAAAAAAGATTTAATGAATATAACAACAGTAAGATTTATAATTATAAGTAATATTTCTAGAAGTGTATTACACAATTAATTATTAAATTAACTATAAAAATAAAACAAATAAGAATAATATGTCTACATATTAGGGCTTGCATATATCTTCGTGAGAGTGCTCAATGAATTAAAGTAAATTAAAATGATTTAAACTAAAACAGAGCTTTATTTATATATATTTTTTATAAATAAAATTACATTTTTTTTACTACATAAGTTCATACTAAATGCAATCACCAGGTGTAAATGTTTTTTTCTTGTGAAAAAACAATTATTCTGTACAAAAGAAAATGAGTTAAAAAAATCTAATCTTTTTGTTTGGTTTGTGGTTGTCCAGCAAAAACTTGTTCTCAAGGAGACATTTGGATATTAATTCGTTTTTTTGTTTAATAATTCTTTGCAATTTTTACACAATAAAATTAATAGTTTAATTTTTAGTTTTTCGTATAAGCATAATAGGCATTTTTTGGTTATGTTGTTGTAGGCAGGGGGGCGCTTTTTATGATGGACCATTTTGAATTGGATGTTATTCTTGATTCATTTTGTGTATCTCACAGATATTTTGAAAGTGTTGTTGCGTTTACGAGTTTTTTGTTTTTGAAGGATTGCTTGTGATTTGTCCATCTAGTTTTCCACATGCCCTCTGTTGAACCAATGTATGTTTTGTCAGGTGTGTTTGGGAATGATGCAATGCACTTATAAATTTGTGTTTTTGCCAGTATTTAATAATAATATAAATAAATAAAATTAATTACTAACTTTAAGGTTTTGTTAAAGTATTATATCTTATTAATGTCTTTAACTAAACTCAAACCTTTTTAAACTTCTTTTTAAACTTCAGTTCTCAATCCCCAACTGAAGTATAAAACTCATTATGTTTTATTGTGTTGATAGATAGAAGCAGGGCTAGGCACCAGAAGCAGAAATTTATTAAGGAGTCCTTTTGGAAAATTGAGAACTTTATTATTAAGAAAAAGCTCAGAGGGCTAGGAAGTTAAGACTGATAGGACCCTAATAATATACTGTGACAGAACCGACAGTACTGTTTGAAAAGAAAAATAATTAAAGAATAAAAAATAAATTGTAATTAAAAAGTTAAAAAAGTTCAACCTGACTTCTTTCATCATTGTATTCATTTCTGAAAACAACCGTTCATTTTCTTCCTCAAACTAAACAATAGTTTCAATTATACTTTGTAACATTAAAAAGTAAAACATCAAAATTCACTAAAAATATGCTAAAAATATTTTAGGTCTTAAAAAACAAGTGTATTTAAATACCAATTGGGTTTCTTCTTTGGTAAATTTATATACATCTTCAGATTCTTCTTGTTCAAAGTCATGCACGATGCTTCCTGTGTCTTTAATAACTTCTATAGATCATAAATACACTCATATATATATATATATATATATATATATATATATATATATGAGTGTATGATGATACACTCATATATATATATGAGTGTATCATCATGGTGATACCACCCTCAACTTTTCTTAAAGTTTCTCTGCGCAGCGACGTTGTTTGTCAAGGTTCGTGTTACCGATTTATAGAGTTGAGAGAGGGTTGTAACCACAATTATAGTGACCTTCACGATTGTAGTAGCCATTGGGGAGTTCTCGGCCTTGGGGAGTTAAAAAAAAATTTGAAATATATATATTCTAAAATATTTTTTTATGAAATATTTTTATAAATTTTGTGCAAATTTAATAAAAAAGATTGATTCTGGATAATTTTTTTTAAATGCACCCCAATAAACACATGTTGAATATTTTTTTTACAAGTTTAAAAACTTGTAAAAAAAATTTCTACTTAAAATATTTATGGTTTGATTTATATATAAAACATATCAAATCTAAGTAAACTAGAAACTTAGTCTAAAAGATTTTTATTTCAATTTTTCCAAAAAATTCCAAAAATTTTCTACAACTTTTTTAAATTTAAAATGCTTGTAAAAAATTGTTTTTTATCTTTATTTTCTTTTATTTTAATTGTTGGTGAAATATTTATCAAAATACCTTTCTTATATGCTATACTTATATTTATATGCATTTATAAACCTTACGTTATATTATTATAAATAAATATATTTATAATATTTACCTTTAAAAATATAACATAGTTGCTGTTGTCGTTATAAAATATTAATGTTAATTAATTTTTCAATATTTTCAAAATTTTTTTCTTTGTATTTATTTCTTTTTTTTTATTTATTATTTTTAATTTATTACTTTATTTATTTATTATTTTTAACTTTTATTGTTTAATGTACAAGCTTGTCAATTTTTGTCATTCATTTACTTATGACAACAAATCTCAAGCCTTAAAACTTAAACTATTTATTTTGAATTATGACATCATTATACCTATTTTTTGTTTTAAAATTTTGTGATTTAAAATTTTATGTTATAATATATTTATACATAAAAAAGAACTGAAAACTAATGAAAAGTGCTTTAATTTGAAATTTTAACTTCAACATCTTCTCAGCATTTTGTTACAATTTCTGTTCAAAATAACTGGTAACCAATCAGATATTTTGATAAGTTTGATAAAAAAAAGCTGTGATCATAGTTAATGACACATCCTAAAAATATCATATTCATATTTATTCTTTGTAACACACTATAAATAAAATTTTGGACAAATTTTAATTGCATTTATTATGTATTTATTTTATGCATGCAAAAAACCTTTATACTTATTTGAACGAGGATTTTATAATCTATTTAAATTTAATTTAATTAAGTTAAAAATATTATTTAAATATTGAAAATAAAACGGTCAAAGAAAAGGACCTCAAAAAAATGATGGAAATTTTTTTCCAAAAAAATCGAGAAAAAGGTAAAGCGTTAGTCACATGTGGAAATGTGAAAAGGTAAAGCAGTTTATGGGGTTTACCCAGATCAACTGCTAACAATAAAATTGTAAAATTAGAGAATGGCTCATTAAAAAGAAAAGTTGGAAGTGGTCGAATCGCAAGGTAGCTACTAAAGAAAATATTCCAAAGATAGCTGCATTTTTCGAAAATAAGTTATGGTGCTCCCAAAAGAAAAAAAGCTATGCATCCTAAATGACGTAAATTGTACAAAAATTATAAAAACTTGGATTTTGTTATGGATGATGAAAGCTATTTTACCTTAAACAATAGCACATTAGCTGGTAATGATAGGTTTTATGCCGCTGACAAAGTAAGACACATATCAGCCCCCGTGGAATAAGCCCTCTTTATATTTGTCACTGTAAGCAGGCAATCAACCAGTACACTTATAAAGAGATACTAGGAAAAACTTTACTTCCTCTAGTATCAGAATATTATAAAAAAGACAATGAGTTTATCTTCTGGCCTGATCTAGCTCAATCACGCAAAGTCAGTCATCGACTTTTTAAAACTGAAAAAAATCAAAGTTGTACCCAAAGATATAAAACCAGCTAACGTACCAGAAGCAAGAGCAATTGAAAACTTTTGGGGTTTAAAACGGCTAGTGTACGAGAATAATTAAAGAGTTGAGAATTTGAAAGAGCTTGAAGCAAGAATTAGATATTGCTATTCTAAGGTGAATAAAGAAATTTTTCTTTCTCAAATAAAACATCTTTCAAAAAAACTTTATAATATTGCTAAATATGGTATTTGAAATAATGATTTTAATATATTTGTAAACTACATATACTAACATATTAACAATTGAAATATTAAATAATAAAACTTATTAGTTCTTAAAATATCAATTTTTAAATTTTGTCCAAAACTTTATTTATGAGGTATTAAATTTTACTAAAATTATTACTTTCAAATTAAATATTAGCTTCTGAAAAATGGATATTATACTTATTAACTATCATTGCAGTTTTGAAATTCATCTAAATTTAATTTTAAAAATGCAGGGTTCTGTTTGACAAAAATACTCTTACCGAAAATTGATTAGTTGTACTTCAAAGATCAAATGATGTCACCATGTTTTGGACAAGTTGTTGTAAAGAAAAAGTATAAAAACAAACTATATTTAGACCAAAAGATTATCAAAATTTAGAACATAGCAAAAAGATGTAAAAAAAAGAAAAAAATAACAACAGAAAAAAGAATATTGAATTTAATATTTACTTAGCAACAAAAAGATTAAACAGAAAACAATTATGTCATCAGAAAAGTAGAATCTTTGTGCTGCCTTTTGTAAGAATATGTAAAAGTTCTATTTTGAATTTCGAGTTCAGTTTTCAGAAAAATATTCATCATATTTATGTTTAGAACCCTTTCTATTTCAGTGAGAAGTTTCAAGTTAGATTCCTATAACACCCAATGTATTATCAAGCTTAACTTGTTTCTCTGCACTTTGTTTATCAAGGCTACAAATAATAACTATTTAATTAAAAATGGTTAAATAATAATTAATAGTTTGAGAAAGGGTAGAGACAATAACTAAAAAACAAAGTGTTAAAGTAGTAGTTTTTTAGACTGAAGTGGCTTCCTCAAACTTAAGGAGGTGAAAAAGGAAGTAAAAGTATTAAGTAAATTATAACATATATAGTTTATGACTTGCTTTGTAAGGCCCTAGGTATGAAGGGAACTTAGTAATGAACCCTGATGACCTTGTTTGTTAAGACTTTTTTGGAGTTTGAAGATTAAAAAGTTTAAAAAAAAAATTTAAAAAATGATTCTTTGACTGTTCTCTTGGGGAGACGAATGTATAAATAAAACTCCATGTTAACTCCAAAAAGACCTAGTAGTCTGCTATAGAGAACAGTCAAAAGATAGCCTTTAATTGTATTTTACCACTTTCACAGCTGTAAAAAATAACTTTAACCTTTTTTCTTCTGTTCAACTCTCCCCATTTCATCTTGGAGTGGTTTGTCTTTGTTTTTATCAAAAATCTTTTGATCACATTCTTTTTCATTTAATATTTTTTTCAAAACCTCTGTTTTACTATTAACAACATCCAATCTGTCATTTTGTCTTGACTGATTTAACAATGCCCTAAAATTATGAACTTTATTTAAAAATAGTAAATTCATTTAAAAAGAAGTTAAAAAAAAAAAACTTACATTCTTTTTCTATCAACAGCTAACTTGACTCTATATGCTCTAAGTTGACTGTATAGTCTGCAAACATCTTGAAAAACATAAATAATTAGAAAAAAAAAAAAAAAAAAAAATATATATATATATATATATATATATATATATATATATATATATGTATGTATCTAAACTAAATTATCATCATAGATCATCTTAGAGTACCTAAAAAGGTACTCTAAGATGACCTTATCACAGAGTACCGTGGAGGAGCATTTAATCAAGAAGCTCATGCTTCCTTTCTTATTAATGTTGATTATTGGTTAAAGCAGGCATTGAACCACGAACCTCTTGGTTCTGAGCCAGAACTCTAACCACTGTGCCACTTCTAAAACTACTGTTGAACAAGAAATTTTTTGTTACAAAAATTTTTTAAAGAAAAAAATATTTTTTTCTCAACAAATTTCAAATGCTTATTTTATTATTTTTTATTTTAAAAACTAGAAAAAAAAAAAAAAGAAAATCTTTTTTTTTAAAAAATAATTAAAAAAAATAAAAAACCTTTTAAAAAAGTCTGCAGTAGCTCCACAACAGCAGTTGAATGTAATCTACTTTGAGAATTGTTTCCAAATGTTACTAATTAAAAAAAAGAATGTTTAAAGAATATCACAATTTGATCAAGCAATTAATATTTGCAAACAAAAGATTCCTTTATTTTTTAACAACTTGATTAAATATTTGCAAACAAAAGATACCTTCATTTTTTAACGATTCGATTGCTGTTGAACATGATTTCATCAATTTTTGAGAATCATTGTCAATTTGGTCTCGTTCTATATCAGTCAATTTACCAGATAACGAGGGCAAATGACTAAACTAACAGTAAGAAAAAAATCAAAAAATTTTAAAACAACTATTATTAGTTGTTCTAAAATTTTTCATTTATTCACTTAAATTTTTATTTATTAGTATTTTATATATTAATTCATATTAAAAATAGTTGGCCATGTGAAAGTTCTGCATATCAATCAAACATTTGTTAAAAAAGATTAGTTTTTATCTTGGAACATTTAAGAAAACTAAATTATCAAAAACACTCTTTGGCCTTGTGAAGGATGTGAAGTTTCGTGGAAGAGAATTTAACTAGGATTATAATGCCTCCTTCTTTACTGATGGTGCAAAATATATCAGAGCTTGCATTGAACCCTAGATCTCTTGCTTCTAAAGCAAGCGCTTTAACCACTGGGCTACTACTGTTTTGTGTAAAACTTATAAAAATTTCAAAACTTCTTTAAGAAAGATCTGCTCGCCTACCAGGAGCGAACCCAGACCTATTTTGGTACCGCTAGATCAGTAATGGCAAAAATATTTTTTACTTGTTAATTTTCCTTTGCTTTTTTAATAAAATAAAAAAAGTTTCTGTTTGAAAGTAATAAATAACTAATTTTCTATTTACTTAAGTGAATTCATTTTTCTTTAGGACAATGAAATAAATGTAAAAAATAAACAAATGAATTAAAAAGTAATTACATGCCAGTATTTAAAACTGTCGTTTAGTTTCTAGTAGAACATTTAAAGATTTAAAAAAAACAAAAAACTCAATCGAATGTATAAAAAACTTGTTTTTTTGATGATAGTTTTAAAAAAAAACTAAAAAAAAAAAAATGAAACTCGATAACGACAATTAAATGTATGAAAAATTTGCATACATTTAATTGTCATGTAATTACTTTTTAATACATTTGTTTATTTTTTTCGAAATATAGAACTATAAAATTTTTAGTCTTAAAAGCAATATAAGAATTGCACAAAATTTAATTTTTTGAATAAATAAACATTTTCATTAGTTTCATTAGCTCACAATTTTATTTTACTTTATGAAATTAAAAAAAGAAACAAATAACTTTTTGAGAAAGTTTTGTTTCTCTTCATATTCTTTTTGACTTTAATAATAATAAAAATAACAACTACATTAATTTATTATAAACTAAAAATAAATAACAATAACTTCCAATTTTATCAAGTTTTTTTATTTTAAGATCTATTAACTTTTATTTTTATATTAATAAACTTATTTTTAGACTTTAATTAATTTAATTATAAAAAAATCCAGAATAAATAAAAATTTATTTAATATAAATTTTTTCAATATTTTAACAATGATCAAGTTTACTGTAATTATCCCTTTTATTAAAAAGCTACCTTGAAGCACTGTGAAAATTATCAACCATAAGTAAAAGTTAAAAGAACAGCTAATATTTAAATTGAAATAAAAATTAAAATAACAGTACACTTATTAAACGCTTATGTTTTATATTGTAACAATTATTGTCTATATATATATATATATATATATATATATATATATATATATATATATATATATATATATATATATATATATATATATATATATATATATATATATATATTTGTTCTTTATTACATTTTAAACATGTCTTAATAAAATATAAAGTTTACAAGATTACAAGATAAGAATAAAAAAGTAAATAAAAAAAACAATAAAAAATTTACAAAATTAGATCAATAAAAAATAAAAGAACGCGAGGACTTGTAGAAGGCTGTTAGGTCTTGTTGTCGAGAAAAGCTAACATAAACGTGATAATTTCTTGTAATATTGGTAAAAGATAAACAAGATAATTACTAATTTTTTCTTTACAGAAAAGTCCATTGAAATTATTTAAATCTGATATATATACTATATATCCAAAAAAAATTGCATAAAAGTCTTAGAATATATATAAATTTTTAAAAGTTTTTCGATTAATAGAATGTAAAAAGAGGATATACAAAAAAATTTATATATTAAAAGTATATTACCAAATCATCTATTGTAAAAATTAATTCTTTAAGGTGGGTGTTAACCAAAATTAAAAATAACACAAAACCATTAAAACCTTTAAACAGAACTGAAATTTTGTACCAGGGATGTAAAAGAACTCTATGGTAAGTAACTTGCATCAAAATTATAAAAAATTATAAATTGCTTTGGGTACTGTTACCTTAGAAACCAAATCAATAAAATAAAAGAAAGGTTATCTCAATAAAAGATTTTAAATTTCAAAATCTTTTATTGAGATAACCTTTAATAACTAAAATGACAAAAAAGGGATTGATATGAACAAGAGATTTTTGTTCATGACAACAGTTGCTATGGTAACATAGAAAAAACTATTTTTCATGGTTACAGGACCTACAAGTCAGGTAAATTTAAAATGCTTCGCTCAAATCAATCTATATGACCCTTAAAACATTCTGAAAAACTTTCAACATGTTCTAAAAAAGATACATCAAGATATCTTTTCTCAAAGATAAAAATGAAAAATGGTTAAATTCAGCTCACAAACTTTACATATTGGTTTTACATTTTTAAATGAAATTCTAATTTTTATAATGTTGAACTACAACAAATTTAATTTTTTTAAATAGGGTTTGGTTAAATAATAAGTTTTTAGTTTGATGCAAAACATTTTTAAACTTTAAACTTTGGACCATGTAATGTTCTATTAATGTTGAAGTTATGGTTGCTAAGGGCGTTGCTAAGGTAAATAATTTGAAAAGAGGCAAGTTTATTGAAAAAAAATGTAAAAAAAATATATAAAAGAATTTTTTTTTTAAAAGTATCAAAGTTTTTTTTCAAAAATGCATAAAAATTTTTTTTTGGACACATTTTAAAAATTTTGGTTAACACCTACCTTAAGTTTTCGTTTAAATGAGTTGTAATTACATTATTCAATAAAAACTTTAGAAAAATTTTTTATAACTATTTTGTTCCATAAAAATGGTCCGCGAAAAGCAATGCAAAACTTAGTATAATTTGTTTGAATATATGGCTGCTTAATAAAATTATCATTGTGTAGAATGTATTTATTTTTATCTTTTGACAAATACAAATTATGAAAAGAAACCAGGAAGAATTGACTTTACATAAAAACATAAAACATAGTACATTATAAACATCAAGTTGATATATATTTAGTACATTCATTTTTGCTTAGCTTGTTTTAAGAACTCACCTTATAAACACATACACAAACACCGTTAGTCACCCTATAGACACATACGCAAACAGCGTATAGTTTTTGATTAACCAGAAAAAACATTCAATAGTAGATTACTGACTACAACTTTTAAATTTAGGAATACTACCAATATAAAAATTACATGAACTTATTTAGTTTGTCATCCTATAGACATATACACAAACACTGTTAGTCATTCTATAGACACATACACAAACAGCGTATAGTTTTTGATTAACCAGAAAAAACATTCAATAGTAGATTACTAACTACAACTTTTAAATTTAGGAATACTACCAATATAACAATTACATGAAATTGTAATACTTACAATTTTTTATGATAAATAATTATTGAAAATCATAAGAGGATAAAAAATTAATGTACAAAAATTGTTTATAATAATAAAAACAAGTCATACCTAAACTCACTCAGATAATCTGTCTGATATGTGATTAAAAAATCTCGCAACTGACTGATGCTTTGCACCTGATCCAAAAACAATGACTTTTGTTAGCTTGTATAAAATGCACAAAAAAAGGAATAAAAAATCTAATAAGACTTATTTAATAAAATTCATTCCAACATTAAATATTTGACACTTCTATAACTTTTAAAATTAAAGTGACTTAAAATTGTGTAATAATTAAGGAGTTTTAACTTAAAAAACTTGTTGCTGAATTAAATACTTAGTAAAATTAAGCACTTGAAAAAAGTTTATATTCTTACATTTATTATTCTTATTTCTATACATAATGTTGTATAACCATAACTTATATATTGTGACTCTAGATGAAGTACTTTAGCCATGGTAAAGACAACTTACTTAAAAGAAATAATATAAAATAAATATATAATATAAAAAAAGTTTTATATGCAGATAAGCTTAGGAATAGTTTCTAAATCTCGGATGTTCAAAATAAATATACTCAATCTTAATCTGAAAAAAAGGTGCCAGAAAAGATTTTTTTCTTACAAGGATTGTAAAAAATTATATCAAGACATCAAGAGCAGCATACAATTTTGAAATTGCTTCAGCTACCTATTCATGACCGAAATTATTGGAGTACAAATTTTAAAACTATATATTTAAAATATTTACTCCTTTTTTAAATGGCTTTGATAACTGTCAAGCATTGAGTGTTGTTAAACTTAATAAATTAAAAAAAAATTTTGTAGGAAAATTTTTTTTTATAAAAAAAAAAAAATCATCATCACTCTAAGCAACCACTGTTTATCAGTATCACCCTAAAGTCATTATCACCCTAAAGTCATTATCACCCTAAAGTCATTATCACCCTAAAGTCATTATCACCCTAAAGTCATTATCACCCTAAAGCATTTTACCATTGCTTATAATCATTAGTAGAATGCTTTAGAAAGTTTTATAAAGAATTAAAAAAAAAATTAATCATTTTAATTTTTATTTGAAGTTTTTTGTCCATTTTTTAAGTTCTTGATAAAAAAACTTGAAAATAATAAAATTAACTTAATAAAAATTAGGTTTAAAGAAGTGTGTATTTAAACCAATTCTAAAATAAATAAAAAAAACCTTAAAAAAGAAGCACAGATAACACCACCCATCCACAAAATAATTAAGACAATTAACAAGCCTTATAAGTATGAAACTTTCAGATTTATAAAACTTAAATAAAATTTAAATTTACTTACAACAGCTTGAGCATGAGAATTAAATGTATCTCGATTTTTCTTTGATTTAGGTAAGATGTTTGTTGTGGGTGAAAATTCTTTTTTTTTTACACGAACTGCTTTAACACAAGCTTCAAAAACTTTTGTAATTTCCATATTTGCATAATAATTTAACAGCATAACATTTTCAATTATCTAATAATGTTTTTGTCTATATATATATATATATATATATATATATATATATATATATATATATATATATATATATATATATATATATATATATATATATATATATATATATATATATAATCCATATGGCTTTTTATCAAAAAAAAGGAAAAACAAAGAACAATCAAAACAAAAACTTATCACTGTCCCAATCCAAACCCTTAGTGGATGTAGCAAGAACTCCTATATCAATTAATTTATGTACTAAAGCCCTCTCAGCTCCCTAAATCAGTATGATGTCAGACTGCAGATCTGACATCATACTCTGTGTGTGTGTGTGTGTGTGTGTGTGTGTGTAAATTAAATATTTAATTAATTAATTATATATATTAAAATTAAAACTTTTCCTTTTTCTTTAGTTTAAAATGAAAAGTTTGAAAAATATCAAAAAGTTATTAAGGAATTCTGATAGAAATAGAAATTTACTATATGATTACATTTTCAAACTAATTTATATTTTTCTAAACAGCATAATAAAATCACTAAAAATTTTATTCAAAAAAAAGTTTAAAAAGAATCATAATCAACAGTTATCATTTTAAAATTAAAAACTGTTGTTGGCTTGAAACATATCTTGCTATTCTATAAAAATTAGAAAAGTATTATTATATTTGATAATATTCTAAAATAAAATTACAAAAAATCAATATCAACAAAATATCAACAAGTAGAAATTAATTGTTTATGTATGTAAATTTGCATTTCTGTTCTTAATAAATTAAGACAGAAATGCAAACATATAGAAAAGAACGCAATACTGAGTGCATAACATTTAGTGAGCAAAAAGTTAAAATTAAATACCAACATCTTCTTGACCACACAACTTGTCTTTTTCACAAAGATAAAATAAAAGTAATATTAATTTGGAAATGACTGTTTAATGATCAAAGTGAAATAAAAAATTTGAAAACGCTCAAAATACTTAAACATATTTAATACCGCTTTTTAACTTTTAGATTTTTCATTCAGAAAAATTATAACTTAAAAATTCTAACCATTTTTTTAAAATTAGTAAAAATTCTAGCCATTTTTTCAATCATAAATTAAATTTTGTTGAACATTATGAACTCAATATTAAAAGAATAAAAAGCTGAAATCTGAAAAAGAATTATTCAAAATCAAATATTGATTTGATGATTTAGAGGTCGTATGATGAAGTTGAAATAAAAATTTCTTTTGCAAGTTAACAATAACTAATGATAAGGTTGTTAATGCAATATGCTTAATTTCTTCACAGCTAGAAAAAGAATGATTCAATAATTTTAAAAACTTTTGCAAAATACAATACAAAAACAGCTTGTGGAGAGATCAATGTCAAGAAAATTCTTCCCTCATCCTTTTATCTAATGCATGTAAAAATCTTTCTTATTAGGTTAGCAGGTTATAAAACCTTTTAACAGGTTAGCAGTAGAATCAAAATCTGTATTGAATTTCAGAGAGAAAGTTGAGATGTCAGAAATTTGCAAATTAAAAATTTTGCTAACAATAGTGAGAAGATTGATTGAGCAATACCTAGAGAGATTTTCAGAGCATTTAAAAATCGGAACCACAGATCTGTCCAATATGATTAGACTTCAAAATATAATGCAAAGAAATAATACAAACATGTATTGGAAAGAAAAAATGACAAAATCGGGCAAATAGTGAATAACATCTTTTAGAAAAGTAGTGAATATTTGAAAGTTCTATGATTTATAAAACTTTTTAATAGGAAAAAAATCTACTAAAATTTTGTGATGACTTACAAGGAAATGGGTGTTAAAAACATGGTTTTTAACCAACATTCAGCTTGGTGAAAAAGGTTGAAAAAATTTGCTATATAATTATATTAATTTATAAAATAAATTAGTACAATTATATAGTAATTATATATTCATTTTATAACTTTTAAAAAAGGGATATAGAATTTTTTTTATATATATAAAATAATTGAAGAATACAAAAAAAACTTAATGCACTTTCATAATTATTAAAGTTTGTAAAATTTCAAAGAACAATTGTCAAGACTGATAGATGCATTTTTAATGAATTTCCTCTATAAGAACTTTTTGTTGTTGTTTCAATTTTAATTGTTCTAAATTTGCTTCAATATCATTGCGTTGTTGATTGATCAACTTTGATTCCTCCACCATTTTGTTTCTGATTGAATAGAGTTCTAAAGATATCTCTGAAATATTATAACTAAACTGCTTCGCAAATGCAATATAAAAATAAAGTTTTTTCATTGTTTTATAAATGGCGGGTGCCATTCCCAATTTACTAGGAAAATACTTTTTGCACCATTTCAAGAATCTGTATAAATCAGATAGCAAAACAAGCACATAATGATCTTTTGAAACTAAAATCAATTCAGCATCTTTTAGGTATAGCGTGATGAGTGAAGCATTAACTAATTTATTTCTATTGATATTTTCAGTTAATGTATATATAACACAAGACAAACTATCAAACATATAGTTTTGTGACAAGGATTTTGATAAACTGAAAATTATATTTAATGAGTCCTCAGGATAATCATAGAGATCACCATTATGTAATCGCATAGAATATATATAAACAAGAATTACTTCCATAATATTATATTGAACATTACTGCTTGGAGATTTAGAAAGTATATGCTTCAAATCTGGAATGTTTTTAAGAATTTTAGGACATTCCACTTGAATGAACTTATCAGAGATATCAACCACCTTGAGTCTAAATATCAAAACAGATAAAAAATATGTGTGCATATGTGTGTGCATATATATATATATATATATATATATATATATATATATATATATATATATATATATATATATATATATATATATATATATATATATATATATATATTTATATATATATATATGGGGTAGTGGTGTAGTGGTAAAACACTCGCTTCATAAGCGAGAGGTTCCGAGTTCGATCCCCACCACGCCCCTGGTAGTACCGCACTCAACTTGTTTCTCCGTGCAGCGGCCTTGTTTGTCAAGGTTTGTGTTTTGAAGTTATAGAGTTGAGAGAGGGTTATAACCACTATTAAGTAGCCTCCTCGTCTGTAGTGGCCTACTCGGCCTTGAGGAGTAGAATAACAAAATATATATATATATATATATATACTGACTAAAAAATAAAGTGAGATTTAAAATAAAAATTTAAATTCTAGAAATTTATACAAATAATAAATAAGAAAAAAAAATAGATGCAATTAATTTAAACCTATAACTTCAAACAAAAAACATTAAAATAAAACTGTTATACTATTATAATCATCTTTCATATAACAAAATCTTTTTTTAAAAAAAAACCTTTTTAAACAAAATTATTTCAAACCTCACAAATTATACAAAATCGTGAAATTGAGTAACACAGTAAATGTTAAATACAGCTGCACTGAAAATATAAAGAAAATCATTCAAAACCACAACAACAAAAAATTATTTTATAAAAATTAAATATTAAAGAAAATAATCAGCCAAAATGTAACTGAAGTAATAAAGTAGAATCCTTTATGAATTCATAAAAGATTCTGATTTATTTTTATAAATAGAAGAATATATAATGATAATAGAATTCATAAACCATTTCCGAACAATTGAAAGAATTGAAGTCTCAAATTACTGTCTAAAGACAGAAGACTTTAAAACTGTAAAATGTATGATATAGATAAACATGAAAACAGGAGAGAAAAGTTTTCAAAAAAATTTTTTGAAAACTTTTGAAGAGTTCAAGTAAAAGGATGCAACAGAATAACAAGTCATGAAGTTTTGGTATTTGTGATATCTGTATTTTTACAAAAGAGAAAGAGATGCAACCGTAGGACAGTGGCTCAACCTTGGCAACTAAAGCATGTTTACTTATAAAGTGCTTTTGGAACTTGCCTAAAAGAGAAAGAGAATTATTAAAAGAACCAGCCCAAATATGACAAGAATATTTCACACAAAAATGATTAAGAGATTTATAGAGGTAGAGAATAGAATTTTATTGCTATGTATAAGTGGTTTTACTTGGAGATTTGTCTAGCAAACTTTAATTCTAGCAAGAAGTATTTAGTGCCAATCCGTATTACAATTGTAGAGCAGGTATAATACTAGCCTTTTTTGTACCATACACCATTATCTTACCTTACCTAGATTCACTGCTGTTTTTATCTCATACACATTAATGCTTTCTTTTCAAAAACTAACAATGGACTCAAAATAACCACAAAATAAATTGCACAGGGTAATATTTAATTTTTTTTTTAGAGCACCTTTAACTGCTAATTCTGAACAATGATTCTTGCAGTGAATTTTCATGAGCCACTTTCTATTGTCTTTTTTTTTTAATTATGCAAAAATTGATGCTCCATCAGTAGCAGCATTGGCAACTTTATTTTTGAACACTTCTGCAGTTTAAGAAATATTCTGTTTTATTAAAAATGTTGTTGGTTACATTTTTATTGGTGTCCATACCATCCAAATTGTTTATCTCTAGTAAAGAAACTACAAAATAGACAGGGGTCCTGTTTTATCTAGTGCTCACAGGAATCAATTCTTCTCATTCTTTGTTTTCCTAGATTGAGAACCATCAAATTGAGAAAATCTATAAGATTTTTTCTCCATGAGAATGGAGTAAAAGTTTTTTTTGTTAATGATATAGAAACTTTTTCTTTAACAGCATTAGCAATGTGTGAGATTAACTTCTTTAACAGCATTAGCAATGTGTGAGATTAACAGCAATGTGTGAGATTAACAGCAATGTGTGAGATTAACTTCTTTAACAGCATGAGATTAACTCTTGTACAGAAAATAAATTTAGAAAAAAAAATTCAAAAAATGGAAATCTTATATTGAGTTTTGTAATTTTACTTGAATAGTGAATACCAAATGAAACCCTGAAAATCAACAACTTGCTTCATTATTGCTTTTTTCTTCTACAAGACGAGCATGATTAAGCCTTTGGTATTTGATATGTGTTTCAATATTTCTATAGGATAATAGAAAAATAGTATTTTAGAGCCATTCATTCATTAATATTCATTCACATGCTGTTCTTATTATCTTTGAATGTGCTTCACAAGTGTTTTGTGAATTAGTAATGGAGTTTTGGATCTTTGGAATTATGAAACTGTCATTTCTAGCTTATTCAGAAGGGTCCAGTCTGTCCTTCACAATGATCTTTATTAAAATTTAAGAGTTCAAAAAAAACAAATACTATTAGAATTGGAAAAGTACATAAATAGAAACTTATAAGTTTTCAGAAAAATCATCAAAATATCAAATCAAACATTATAAAGGAAAATTTATAGTATTTCCAGAATTCGCAAATTCAAATTAAGCTAATGATTAAATTTGATGTCTTTTTTACACAGAACAATGTCAACTCCAATTCACTCTGGTCATGTCACCATATATTTCACATCACCATATATTTCATGTCACCATATATTTCAGATTTTTATACAGTTGAGTAAACTTAGTAAAATAAGAATTGAAAATTTTAAATTTTTTTACTTTAAGCAGATATTAGCCAGGCCTCGCTTGCCTCTCGAAAGTTTATTTAGAGGTTTTAAGTCAACTTTAAAATTTTTTTACTTAAAAATTTGTGCCACGCTATTTTCTGTTAATACGAAGATTGTTTATTAAAAAATAATATAAAGTATAAAGATAATGTTAATGTTAAGATAATATTCTTTTAAATAGTTAATAATTTGTGTCTGAACTTCATAAACATAACAATTGTCATGGTCATTTTCTTCTAACATGAGCCAAAATATTTTTCTTTAAACTGTTTATAATTGTTTAATAAATAGAAGGCATAGAGGTGCAATGTTTATCTTGAATAATAAACACGGAATTTTCTGCAAAAACACCCAAGAAATTATAACCATCATTTGCTGACTTTTGTTGTCTTAGGTATCTGACTGATGAATGTTGTGGGTATCTGACTGATGAATGTTGTAGGTATCTGACTGATGAATGTTGTGGGGTCTGTTTTTTGTCACTGATTAAATTATACCTCCTTATTATCTTCATCACTAATTAGTTGTTCATCAAAAAGTCTGTTTAAATACAATTAGAACATGAATGAACAATGCCTTCATTATTTGTCACCTCATAAACAACTTTTGTCATAAAATCTTTGTAAGTACATTTTGGTTGTATAGCATCAGATCTTTGTAATTTTTGCTGAAAAGAATTGCATTTTGATGATGGGTACATACATAATAGAGTGAGTCCCTGATGCTCCAACAGTTATACTCCATTTGAAAATTTGTTAAATTTGCTATCATGATACATATATTGTTGACTCATGATTAAATATTATTTCATATTTCATTCTGAATACGAAGTTCAAAATTTCATTTTGAACTTCGTATTCAGGGACATTAATATATCTGGAAGTTTAATTTCGTGACCAATAAATTATGCTGCCTTTATCTTTTAATAACTGTTGATAAATTTTACTTTATCAACAATTATTTACTTTTGATTGACTTTATCTTTAATTAATGTTTTCCACTGAATTACTACATTTTTTCTGATTATTTACAAATTTTACAGCAAAAATCTTTTCATAGTAAAAAATGATTTTACAATTTTATCATTTGATTTTGCTCTAAACTAATTCTTCATTCAATCTTTTCTATAATAATTGAATCTCTTTAAATCAGTTAAATCTACAATAAATTAGATATGACAACTGTAACTATGACAACTATTATTTAATTGTTTTCAAGAATCACATTCATTTCATTCATTCAATCCATTCTCACTGTAGAACTAACAACTAAACTGCATTTAAGAATTAACAACAACAAATAGTTTAATCATTATGCTTTCTTTTGGTTCTTTTGGATTTAAAAGCAACAATCTCGTCTTTTCATTTTCCACCATTAATAATCATTTGCTTATTGCTAAAGTATATGCTTATAATTATATTATTAATAAATATTATAGCATTATTAAAATGCTGAGGACACATGAAGATCGATTCTCCTTCACGATTTAGGAGCTTTCTTGCAGCATATCTGATGTTATCAGCATTTAAAAATAAATTTTTTTCAGGTAAATCTAGTTCAACAAAGCAATGCAATATTTATGATGCAAAATATTTTCCAGGTAGTTTTCAAATAATATTTCAAAAAATATTTTCAAAATATATATTTCAAAAAATATTTTCCAGGTAGTTTTCCAGGTAATAAAGCCTTTTGTATACTCAATACAAATAATGACCTTCTCATGATTTAATTAAGCTTCACATTCAGAACAAACATATTTTTTTGAGATTTTTTACATAATAAATGGAAATGACATGTTAAAAAGTAAGTAATTATTAAGCAAATCATCACACAAATTAGCAGAACTAAATATTTTTATCATAGAATTTGCTGTTTGTTTGCTAAGAGTAAACTTTCTACACCTTTCTAATTGCATTATTTGCCATTCATTAATCCACTTCGAAAAACAATGTAAGAATTCAGGTTTTTTATCTTCCCTGCATATCACAACTGCATAAACAATATAGTTATTTGATTATTTTGACTTTGAATTTGATATTAACCACCAACTATTAATAAGTTGTAAAAGTTCAGCTGCATATAAATCTTTTGGAAAATAACTTTTAATGGCAGCTGATGTAGTTTCATAAAAAACACAAGCAAGAGGAACACTTTCCTGGATGCAAGAGGAACATCATTTTCCACGATGTAATGTTTGAATGTGAGTTTA